GGCTCAAGGGAGTCTCCTACCTCAGCCTCCCAAGTAGCTGGGACCACAGGCGCCCGCCACAACACCCGGCTATTTTTTTTTCTTTTTGGTTGCAGCCGTCATTGTTGTTTTGGTGGGCCTGGGCTGGCTTCGAACCTGCAACCTTAGGTGTATGTGGCTGGCGCCTTAGCCACTTGAGCCACAGGCGCCGAGCCTAGAGGGGCATTATTTATGAATGAGGTTCTAATCAGGATTCACAGATTCTTTATTAAGCTGATTATAAAGGAGAAATGTCCCCTGAAATCACTTCTTCCATTAAGAGTAGGCAATACCACTATTAACAGAGTACCCTGTTCGTCTATACCTGTTACATCTGTAGACAATTAAAGGAATAACCACTAAGAGATACTCCCTCCAAGTCTGTCTAAAAAGGTCTGCAAATCACTCCGTCTTATTGCTAACTGAGATCCCAAAATGAACATTTTGACAATAGAGGCTGAGTATCCCTACTCTGACACGTTTGAGGTCAGAAATGTTTAAAGCCGCAGATATTTTCAGATTTTGGAATATTTGCAATATAATCGCAATATATTCCCACGAGCATTTCCTTTGAGCATCATGTCAGTTCTCAAGAAGTTTTAGATTTTAGAGCATTTTGGATTTCACCCTTTCAGATTTAGGATGCTCAACCTTTAATTGCATTGGTTTATTCCCTGTTTAAATATAATTTGCAGCTTTGACCTTTTCAAACTAATCATTACACTGATTTCTGTTTTATTTGTTGGTACCATTAAAGACACATTCAAACATTAAATTTCTTAATAAGGAAATCTGAACCAAAACCCATTTGTGCTTTGTACCTACACCAGGCAAAGTCAAACAGAAAAAAAGAGTCTACCTGTTTGGAGGTAAAACATTCTCTCCCATGTAGAAATCTTGGTTTACCATGATTTCATGAGCAATGCTCATCCTGGAAACTTCCTTAATTGTTTCCATTAGACCTGTAACAGAAAGGACTTCAGGCTACTCTCTGGAAAAAGGCACAGCAATCATCAACGGAGAACTCACACAAGTAGTATTTCTGTTATATTCAGAGATTCACTCAATCAAGTAAGGCTCCCAAATTTAGATTTATCAAATAGATTTCACACATTCAGTCAATCATTTTAATATTTGAAGTTTTCGGCTCGGCGCCTGTGGCTCAAGCGGCTAAGGCGCCAGCCACATACACCTAAGGTGGCGGGTTCGAATCCCCAGCCCAGCCCGTCAAACAACGATGATGGCTGCAACCAAAAAATGGCCAGGCGTTGTGGTGGGCGCCTGTGGTCCCAGCTACTTGGGAGGCGGAGGCAGGAGACTCGCTTGAGCCCAGGAGTTGGAGGTTGCTGTGAGCGTGATGCCATGGCACTCTACCCAGGGGGATAGCTTGAGGCTCCGTCTCAAAAAAAAAAAAAAAAAAAAAATATTTGAAGTTTTCTGAACTCTTTGTCCTTTGACAACACTAAAACTCTCGAGAGCAGTCAAGCATGGGAAAAATTTTTTTTTTTTTAAGGCTAGTCAAGTGAAGCAATGGGAGTGGAGAAGGAAAGGAGTTAATTTTTGAAAAACGAAGTAAAATTGATTTTAAAACTTTCTGCTTGAAACATAAAAACAACAAGTAAAACAGCAAATAAGTTGTGGTTTATAAAGTAAACATTTATCTAAAGGTTGTGTTCTACTATCTTCTTCCTACCTCAGAGGCCACAGGCAATAGGAGAGCTAAAGTCTTTTTATAGATAACACCAAAAATCTTACTAGCGGCTCTAAAGCTGAACCATGATTCTAAAGTAAGTTTCCACATCTGGGGATTCAACAAACCAATATAATTAAAAAAAATTAATTAACTGCCATTTTGCCAATTTTTAACTTTCCACACATGGACACGAAGGCAAACAAAAATAAACAAAAAAATCCTATATCATGAACAACACAATCATTTCCTACAAAGAAAGCAATTTTTAACACTCCTAAAAGTATAAGAAAAATATACCCAGTATAAAGCACAGTTTTTTTTTTTTTTTTTTGCTTGTATGAAAGGTCTTTATTGGTGGGGGGAGGGAGGCTGCAGAGCAGCATTAAGGAGGAGAGAAAAGAGGAAAGATAAGGAGAGAGCGGGGAAGAGAAGAGGGAGAGAAGAGCGAGGGGGAAGAGAGAAGACAGCAGAGAAAGAAGGCAGAAGGAGGAGAGAGAGAGAAGGAAGGCAGAAAGTGAGAGAGAGAGGAGGAAGGCAGGAGGTGAGAGAGAGGGAGAGAGAGAGAAGGAAGGTAGAAGGAGGTGAGAGAGCAAGCACAGTTCTTTAAATGGAATCTAACTGTATTTTAAAAACTCATTACAATATCTTTTTTATTTCATTCAGTATTGTTAAGAAGTATGTCAGAAATTAGTATTGGAATTTGGAAACCAATATTCCAAGTTCATCATGCATACTACTTACAGCAGTGATACATAATAGTAAGCATATACATGGTGGCCATAAAGTTCATGTACAATTTAAAATAGACAACTATCGCACATGAACTTTATGGCCACCCTGTATAGCAATTACAATTATTACCTATTATATAAAATAAAACCTAAAATTTATTCTTTTTTTTTTTTT